AGCTGAGCTTTTGAAGCTTTGACGCGGGCTTCAACCAATCAGGAGACGAGGAGCAGCAGCAGCAGAGGGTCTGTCTCTGTCATGAAGAGAAGTCATGTATCTACTGCTGCTGTTTTATTGTCATTATTGTTATTAGTAATATTATTTGTATGAGTAGTAAAACTCTGAGTAACAAAAATCATTGTATACATGCTGTGTAGTAAACGTAGTTTATTTAAAATAAGAACAGGCTGACGATGAGTCTGGCTCAGAGCAAGGCAGCTCCGGGCGGACGAGAGCCGGGGAGAGGCAGGGAGAGGCGAGCGAGAGCCGGGGAGAGGCGAGCGAGAGCCGGGGAGAGGCGAGCGAGAGCCGGGGAGAGGCGAGCGAGAGCCGGGGAGAGGCAGGGAGAGGCGAGAGCGAGGCGGGGAGAGGCGAGAGAGGCAGGGAGAGGCAGGGAGAGCCGGGGAGAGGCGAGCTCCGGGGTTTGAGAACTCAGACTGGGCGAGTGACATGCGGAAGTACCGCTGAAAGCGAAACTCCTCCGTACGCAGCTCCTGGAGTAAATGACGGAACTCTGCAAACACTGCAGCCTCAGTCTGTGGTGAACCCAGAACATGTTTTGTTGAAGCCCTACAACAACGTTTTTTTGCTTTATATAACAAATAAAGGCTCGCTGCTCATTGAAAAATCCACCGCTGTCCTGACAACAGACAACAGAGAAGCTCCTCCCACAGGCAACAGAGAAGCTCCTCCCACAGACAACAGAGAAGCTCCTCCCACCGGCGTCAGGCGCGTCACTCGCGTCAAAAGCTTCAAGCACCAAAATGACAAAACTATCCCGGCGTCAGTTGAAGCGCGTCAAAAGCTTTTTGAAGCTTTTGGTCTGAACGCGCCTTAACACTTCATGTTTGATAAATCTCTGTCCTGTCTAAATTGTCCACCACCTCTACCTCTGCTATTCCTGGGGAATGTCTGGAACCTCTGTCCTTGATTTCCATAGGGCATGTATCCATTCATTTGCCATTCATAATCTGGTTGCTGCTGTGTTTGTCCAGTCTGTATAATCTGCTGTGGTTGCATCACCTGTGTCTGCGTCTGAGGCTGCAGTGGACTTGGATTACCACTAAACAACATTTCTGCTTTCTCCACTTTTTCTGGCTTTGGTTCAGATTTTTTAATCTCTTTAACTAATTCCTTAATCAGTGACAAACTATCATCAGTTTTGGGGCTGTTTTTCTTCCGAAGTAGCTTTTTCATAGTACAATATGACCTAACAAAAGCTGGCGAGTCAGTATCCAAATTCAGAATGTGTTTTTCTTTTTCAGCTGTCGGTAGCTCCCTGAGCATCCGCTGATAGAACATTTTTTTTGATCAAATCATAGGTTGGGGTGGACTCTCTTGGATACAAAGCATCAAACTCCTTATTTAATCTATGCTTCATGGCCTCGGCTGTCTCTCCATCTTGCACTTCTAGATTTATGGTTTCCATAGCATTCATGGGCACAGGAAATAACGTTTCCATTTTTTCCATCACAGCTGAATACCATGCTTCCACTGAACAGCTGTTTGTGGCTCGAACTGCAACATTTTCAAATCCTGTGGACATGATTGGAAGGTGGACACCGAGGACGGTAGTGAGATCATTTAGGGTTAAATTTTGAGCAGGATAGTGTTCCAGGATTGACAACAAACATGCTCTGCCCCCATACTGCCTTGGGTCTTTCATTCTCAATTTTATAGAGTCAATTTCAGTTATAGTGAGCGGTTTACATGTCCTGATCTCTCTGCCGGACCTAGATGTCGATACCACAATTGGACACATCGACACATCTTCTCCTTGTCTGCGCCTAGCTTTCCTCTTGTTCTGTCGCCTTTCCTGTTGATAATAAATTTCCCCACTCGTACCGTCGTCATCTGAGTGTTCAGCTGTTACAAACGCATCTGAGCCGGTCATCAATAAATCTTCGTCTGACGAGCTTGATTCTGCATCTACAGTTTGATTAGATCGAGTAAAATAACGATGCTGTCTTTCTTTCCTAACTGTAATCGGCTTCTGAAAGCTGATTCTTAAATCTGTCTTCTTCCTCGTCCCTGAGTGCTGGTCCACTTCTTTCTGGGCCTCTCTGTCTGCGCCTCCCTCGCACCTCTGGGCTGTCACTCCTCCCGCCCTCTGCTCTCGCAGCTCTGCTCCCTTCTCTGCCTGAGAAGTAATTTCGTCAAATTTGGGACTAGAATTACTAATAAAGTTTTTTCCATTAAAACCATTTGCAAATGAATTTCCCCTAGTCCCTGGGGTGTGCTGCTGGTGAGATGGGCCTTCCTGAATCGTGTGGTTTTTAAGCTCACTTTCCAGTCTTGTCAATGTGTCATTGAATTGTCTTTCAGCCACTTGCGCCACAATTTCTCCAACCTGATCAATGTGTTTCTGAAGCTGGTGAGTCTGAGCTGTAACCTCCCGTACCTGTCTGAGCGCCTCTTGGGAGTGTTTTTGGTCCAGACTCTCCTCTCCTGTGCTAGTCACGGTACATTTGATTGGCTCTTCAAATGTAATCAATGGAGCCATTGTTGCAGAATCTTTACTTTTCACTAATTCTGTTAAATCTGGATACAATGGAGCATACGGTGGAGGGGAAAAATCAGGAGCTGTACTTTGCAATTTGGCAGCAGTCATCCATTTTTCATTTAGTTTGATCATCATTGAAATCAATGTAACCTCATCTGTCAACTTTTGAATTTTCTTATTTTCTAACGGCTTCTCTCTTTGCATTTGAGAACGTTTCTCCAAAACTAATTCTCTTAGTTGTTTCATTAACCCTTCACTTGGGGGTGAATTTGACTTAGCTAAAATACCATCTTTCTTTTTTGATTTTAACCATGTTCTAACGCTCCTTATTGTTGTATTTTTAATCTCTGTTGTCCCCTCTAAATACTGTATAATCCCCTTTATCCACTCATCTAATGTTACAGATGCCATGTTTTTTACCGTCTAGATTACAAGCCTTGTGTTATCAATATCAATGTAAAGAATCAGCAATTGGGTGCGTAATCTTAGGGCGTCAGATCGTGGTATCTCCCCGTTCGACCACAAATGTGGTGGGGAAATGTACGCACGAATCGTGACCCCGTCCTACGCGACCCAAATTACTGCGTTCACTGTGACCGTTGTGCAATGGTCACTTCCACAGAAAACATCAATCACTCATTCACACCAAGAGAAAAATTAAAAGTGAGAAAAGTTAGACACTGTCCCTGTCCTCTCCCTTATTGTCAATTAATTAAAACACACAGTTTTCTCCTTCAACTATTAAATCACTGAGATAACACACAGTTCACTCCTTTTAACTCATAAATCACTTAGATCCTCACACAGTTCTCCTTTTAGGTTGACTATCAATCACTGAGATAACACACAGTTTTTCTCCTTTTCTTAAGTCACTTAGACTTGAATACTATTATCCCAATAAATATAAAATACTTGCAAGCAAATCCTTCAATATTTACCCTACTTTTGTTTGTTTGTTTTTTATTTTTAGGTCTCAGGTCAGGTCAAAAGGAAAGATTAATTAGTTGGTAACAATTCTTACCGTTTTACTTTGGCGCCAAATTAATCTTTTCTTTGACCGGGCCTTGTGTCTCCTGTCGAGATCCTGTTCGAGCGACGCCAAGTTCTGCAGTAATTTGTCAGAATTCCCCTGCCCCAGAAGCTGCAGACAGGCCGCAACACAGCCCTTCGTTCTGCAGGTCCTTTTAGTTCAACAAGAGACAAAAACCAATGTTAAAACAGTAAATAGAAATGACAGATACCAAACCTGATTTCAAAAGGTTATATTGAAGATTTGCAAGCAATATTACAATATTAACGGTCTGCGAACACAAGTCTCGCTTCGCGTCCAAAATAAGGAGTGGCCTCGGGGACGTCTCACTGCTCTCCTGTCGGACGAAAAAAGAGGCCCCCGTGACTGCTCCTGTACATCTTTATACTTTACATCCAAGGTCACTTGACATCACAACTGTATGGACCCTATGACTCCTTCTGGCCCGCTGCCAAAGCCTGCACCTACTCTGATAAAACACTTGTTTTCTTCCATTCTCACACAGACTAACCTTGAACTAACTGCTCTTTGAGATTTACACAAACAAGTGCTAATTTGGCAACAGAAACAATACTAAACTGATTTTAATTTTAACTGGTCCAGGAGTTCAATATTCCAACACTACGTTACTGCATTGTCTGTGGTATTATTTGACAATTATGTGAAAATTAAAGTGATAGTTGTGAATTTATTTATTTGTGTTTGTTTTATTAATTTTTATTCAAAAAATAAGTATGTCCAAAGTTTTGCTATGGAGTCTTTCGTTGTTTGGACACTTTCCCCAGCTTTTGAGAATATACGCTCAAATGGCACAGATGAAGCCGGGTACATAAGAATTGCAATGACAGCTGAAAAAGGTTTGGATGTGTGTCTCTGGTTCCCCCAATAGGTCACGGATCCTCTGGTCCTGTGAAGGTTCCTCCTCTGGACCTCAATGATGGAGTCCGCTGTCACGTTTGTCATCTGTCTGCCAACCTACACATCAAGATCCGGCCACAAGTTGTCTGAAATAAATAAAGACAATGGAAAGTCAGTCTTTATCATCTGGTACATAACAAGATCAAAGCACAAGTGAGATGTGGCTGAAGTTGGTGACTCTGATGAGGTCCAGGCTGTTGCTCAGATGAACTGCGAAACCCAAGTGATTTAAATCCAGCGAAACCCGAGTGATTTAAATCCAGCAGTGTGGAGAGGGTCACACACTGAATATCTCCAGTTGAGATGAAGTTTCTTCGACACGACGCTTAAGTTGTTGATGGAGATTTCTGGCTGTTTGTGTAAATGTGTAGAATGGCGCTCCAGTGCACAGTAGCATTTTCATCCTCGGGACAAACTTTGAGCCTGAAACTCTCCTCAGACAACTCCACTGTGGCCTGATGGAAAGGAGCTAGCACGAGAAGTGTCTCCTTTAGGATGTTGTACTCATCAGTCCTGAGTGGAGTCAGTCTGTGAAGAGAGGCCGAGACGCCCACACTGGTTCTTCCTCATCAGCCGGGACAGCAGCTGCTCCAGCGTGTTGGTATCTCGTTCATAAGTTCCAGGGCTGGCCGTCCCATCTGCTGTTGTACTTGAGCAAGCTTTTCTTCGGCTGTGGTGCTGGATCTGAAATATGTTACAGTTTGCCTAGATTTGTGTCTGATGGCTGAAAGTTCAGGGATTTGATCACAGGATTTCTTAACAATTAAGTTTAATGTATGTGCAATGCAAACTGAATGTTGAGTTTGGAGTGTTCTGGCTTCTGCTGCGTCGGTCACAGACACCTCACCTTATTGTTACAGCCGTCATCCAGAATGCTCCTCTGAACTGGGCCAAACTGTCTAACTCCCATCACAGATGTACACAACTGTACTTAAAAAAACTAAAACATAACTTACATGAACATACATTAACAGGCAAAAAATGTTTTATTGTTTGACTCAAAAGGTGATCCTCCAAATGGTTGAGGAAATCATTAAAGGGTTAAAATAGTTTTGATGTGAGAACTTAGAAAGGTATGGAAGCCCGTTTCCGCCATGTAAAAAAAAAAAAAAAAAAGCATACAGAAAGTCAAAATTTTGAGTTTAAAACTCAAAATTACGACTTTTAAAAGTACAAATTTCGACTTTAAAAGTCAAAATTTCAACTTTAAAAGTCAAAATTACGAGTTTTCATCTGCGCATGTGCAGTTGAAAACTCGTATGTGTTGTTGTCTGGAACGGTCTCTGGACGTCCTTCACCTGCAGATTATGAAGATATTGCCGACAGTGACCACTGCATCCGTGAAGAAGCCAAAAATAATGTTGTTTGATTGATTCTGTAAAACTTTCCTGTTTAAGCCCCAGACCGCGGTCGTAGGACGCAGGGAGGTGCTGTCTTTTTATTTATTTATGTTAAATTCAATTTGCATATATACAGCATTTAAATCAAACGACTTCTTATTTCGACATAGTAACAAATAATGTGAGCAATACGTTTTTATAATAAATCAAAGGAAAATGAGCCATCGAGACATTCCAATCCAATCTGCTATACCCCACTCTGACCAGACGATGGCGCTGAGAGGGGTCCACACGGAGCGAGTCTGTCCACGGCTGAAAGGATGTGCTTTCTACGTGTTGAGTACGGGGTTTTATTCATGCATCTATAATGGGTTTAAGTCCCTTTTCAAAGACCCTCACTGTTATCTGCGGAGTTATTTCTCCGGTTTGTTGCTAAAAGAGTCGTGGGCTTTATTTTGTCACAATAAAATAATCAGACAAGGCACTTATTCCCTGTATGTCTCTGTGTTCTTGCTCATACGCCAACAACTTTACCACACGCTCCATCAGCTCACCCCCGCGTGCACGCAAACACGTCACATACTCTTCAATGCACTGATCGCAATTCCAAAAGGGTAATAATGTCAGTGCCTCTGTCTGTGGTTCTCCTGCCTCTGTCTGTGGTTCTCCTGCCTCTGTCTGTGGTTCACCTGCCTCTGTCTGTGGTTCTCCTGCCTCTGTCTGTGGTTCTCCTGCCTCTGTCTGTGGTTCTCCTGCCTCTGTCTGTGGTTTACCTGCCTCTGTCTGTGGTTCTCCTGCCTCTGTCTGTGGTTCTCCTGCCTCTGTCTGTGGTTCTCCTGCCTCTGTCTGTGGTTTACCTGCCTCTGTCTGTGGTTCTCCTGCCTCTGTCTGTGGTTCTCCTGCCTCTGTCTGTGGTTCTCCTGCCTCTGTCTGTGGTTCTCCTGCCTCTGTCTGCGGACCTCCCTCACTGTCCTGTAATCGTGAACGGTCTCTGTCAGTAACAATATCATTCAGTGCATTTCTGGTGCATCCATCGATAGCCGTGATACTGACCAGACGTCACCAGTTGATGCTCAATGACTTTGAACAGCCGCATGTGTTTTATTATTAATCTTCCACAGTCCGTTTAGGATAAACTAAATAGAGGCTTCTGAAGCGGATTCTAATCATAAACGGAGAGACCGTTTGCATTTTAACGCGATTACTACCACAACATTATTGCTGCTACTTCATGGATGTGGTCACTGTCTGTAGGAAAAATCTTCACATAATCTGCAGGTAGAGGATGACCCATGGTCATGGATCTATAACAGGGATGACCCATGGTCATGGATCTATAATAGGGATGACCCATGGTCATGGATCTATAACAGGGATGACCCATGGTCATGGATCTATAACAGGGATGACCAGAGACCGTTCCAGACAACAACACATACGAGTTTTCAACTGCACATGCGCAGTTGAAAACTCGTAATTTTGACTTTTAAAGTCAAAATTTTGACTTCGTCGTAATTTTGACTTTCTGTAGGCTTTTTTTTTTTTTTTACATGGCGGAAACGGGCTTCCATAGAAAGGCCATTATTGAGATGTTTATTTTTTATTGTTTGACTCAAAAGGTGATCTACTGTGCGAACTTATAAGTTATCAAGAATAATGTCGTGAAACACCTCCAGTGATGTCTGCTCAGAGCAGAGTTTCTTCACACCTTCCAGTAATCACTTGTTCATAAGTATCTTTTATTTGAACAATGGGGCAGACCCTGAGTAAAAAAACAATGTGTTGGAAACATGAACACACAACTCTGGCCTCAAAGTTCTATTATGCGTTTCCAAACGTGGCAGAAACCATTTGCTTGGATCCTCAGTACAGTTGTGAGTGACGGTCTGTGACAATGTAGTTCACTTCAAGACTCTTTTTCCTCCTGCCCCATTGCTCTAAGGAAACACAGTTTATTTGCACTGTCACTTGTATTGAAAATACAATAAATTGTGTAATAATAAATAATATTAGACATACCTGTTCTAGTTGCATGTCAAGCACCTTCTTACTCAAGTTCCATGAATGTGAGGAGACCTGTGTGTGAGTAGTGTGTTTATCAGGACCTTTACACAGTAATAGATGAAAATCTGGAAGTTGGAAGTCAACTTCCACATTTTTTCGGATCCATTTTGAGGGAATTGTGGAGCTCTAGCTGCATTTTTGTCCAAAAGGGAGGGAAACATACAGACGTGAATGTGTCCATTAGTTTGCCTGGGACAAAGTCACCCTGTGTGTGTGAGGACATGTGTTTATGAGGACCTGTGTATATGTGTTTGTGAGGATCTGTGTTTGTGTGAGTGCATGTGTGTTTGGGAACCTGTGTTTTGAGGGCAATTGCTTGTGAGGACTTGTGTGTGAGGACCTGGGCCTGTGAGGTTGGGTTAGGGTTTTGACATGAACGTGTTGGGTTCAAGCCCAGGTCTCCACTGACTCCAACGGATGTCTGCTGTCGGTGCACATGGAAAAACATCAATATGGACCAGTGGGAGTAGAGATTACAACAACCCTTGATACTCCAACTTACCTTGCAATGCATTGCTGGTAACTTACAGCAACAGCCATATGCATATGGCCCCTCCGACCACCACCAACCATTCATGGTAGGACATGAATGGAAAAACAGGCATGGAAGTTGTGAGACTCTTTGGTTGTGACTCAATTCGTCACATAAGCCTCCACGCCACGTCAAGGCAGAGTCTCTAGTGGAGGTTTATTTATTTTTTTGTACTTCACATTTTGTGAAGTACTTTTTTTTTTTCAAATAAAACAAGACAATTACACTTACAAGAACAACAACAACAAGAACAAGATTGAATACAGAACAAGTCAAGTCCTCACACACACACAGGTCTTCACACATACAGGTCCTCACACACTCGTCGGTCCTTAAGCAGGGTACTCTCTAATCACATTGGCGTAATAGTGGAGAACCCGACTCGGCAGCCTGTCCACGTCCACTTTGCATTCCTTTATGGGCTGAGGAAGGGCGCGAGGCTCCTCGTCCTCCTTGTCTGCCGGGAAGAGCATCCGCCGCCGCTTCCTCGATGTCATTGTACCCTCGATGCAGGCCCATACCGGGGTCCAGGGCTGGCGGTCGAGGGCTGAGGCGGTGGGGTCAAGGGCTCATACTCGGGGCTCAATAGTTCAACCTCAGGCTCAGGGCTGGAGGGGTCTGGCTCAGGGCTGGCAAGCTCAGAGCCAGAGGAGTCGGGCGAGTCCTGATAAACTGGCTCAGGTCCCTCTGACTCTGAGCTGCTGGCCTGGTCTGCCTGTCTGGCCTGGTGTTGGAGGCCAGACAGAGGGCCTTCATCCGCAGGAGCCTGTCCCGATATTGCCTCTCCCCGTTGGGGAGGGCAACATAAAACTTTGAGGCCGTGGCAGGGTCGTGGCACATGGCCCTGGCCACCCTCCGCCGCTCCTTCTCGGTCAGGTGGTCATTGGCCTTACAAACAGAAAACATGAATAAACATCAAAATTCAACTCTGCAGTCAATTTCACGCATGAATCAAGATGTTACCTGTGTGGCCACGCTGCTCCGGATCTTATTAAATGTAATTGAGCCCTTCAGTCCAGCCGCTGCCCACGCCCTGTTGATTATTTCTGAGCCCTGTTTGATCGGGGCTCCAGATCTATTATGAAATATCGTTTCCGCCCCGCTGCACTCCTCCGGACAGAAGTCCCCGGTGGCCAGAAGGCGGAGCCAGTCATATTCCTGGCGATCCAGAATAATGGAGGCCTGCCCGAAGGTTTTATTTGTTTTGTGGTCGTCCACCTTGGGGGAAAACAAAACAAAAATCTGTTGATGGATAAGAAACCAAGCGCGGGGAATAGAACTCGCCCCTGTTTTTCCCGGTATTGCACCGACCAAGGCTACAATCTGCCAAAATTTTAGATCTCTAGAGGCAATTTCGGCCAAAAGGGAGACCTGTGTGTGAGTACAAGAGTGTTTATGAGGACCTGTGTTTATGAGGACCAGTGTGAGTACAAGTGTGTGTATGAGCACAAGTCTGTTTATGAGGACCTGATAAGAAACCACAACTCGCTAATATAATTAACAACCTTTCTAATTACTTTCTGAATGGTACATAGTATGACTGACCAACACTTGGAAGCGGGTTCCTGACTTCCAGGAGTCGCCATTATGTACCGACTCCTTTGTTGTGTTGTGGAAGACCACCGCCCAGTGGCCTGTCACGATGGCCAGGTAAGCCAACATATAGCCCATCCCCAGGCCATGGACTTCATCGGGATCCTCTCGGCCTACACCCCAACAACACGAGGTATTAAGGGGAAGCAACAACTTCTTGGAATGAAAATGAAAAACAAAAACAATCACAAATGTACTCTACTTACAGAGAATTTCGCCAATGGCTGTTTTGGCCCTTGCCAAAAACTTGACGCTGTCCGTGGCGTCCAGCTGGTCGGCTGTGAAAAGAACGGAACTGGCGTAACACTAGTGAAAACCACATCCCTATTTGGACCTATTGTGACATTTCACCATTTCGGACTGGTCAATAATTTAGTACTAGTAGTAGTAGTAGTAGTATAAGTGTTATCAGTAGTAGCAGTAGTAGTAGCATCACCAGCAGTAGTAGTAGTAGTAGTAGTAGCACTAGTAGCAGTGGTGTTACCCATATAAGACAGGAAAAGCCTTACCTGACTTCTTCTTAAGGACCTTCTGCCTGTGGACAAGCACTTCCCGCTGAATGTCCCGCTGGATCCGCTGAAGCTCATATTCAATGTTTTTGGCTTCAGCGGGCCTCAGGCGGGTCTTGCGCGGGAAGCGCTTGCCCACATCGCGTAAAAACATGATTATGTTGGTCATCATATTTTTTATGGTGGTACTCTTGTAGCCCTTTTGGGCCAGGTACGTCGGGTATCTGTGTAAAAAAACAGACAGGTTACCACATATAAATCTTCCAGAATTTTTAAATCTATCACCATTCACTTTCACAAGAAAATCCTAACTAAATGGCAAATTTTCTTGGACCAATTTTAGTGATATTAAACAAGATGCAGAGTTACCTAATTCTTCATCCAAAGATAGCAGACTAATACTCACCCACGCAGGTGGTCCAGCCGGTTCAAAAACCTGAGGCTCCCGGTCAGGCAGTCAGCCGCCACTCCCTGGGCCATGTACCTGCAAAACCTCAGGGAGTGGCTGGCTGACTGCTTGGCATTGTCCTGGTCCTTTGGCCTGGTCCGCGCCCCGAGCCTGAACTGTCTGTAATCCTCCACCAGTGATTCTGCAATAAAATCAAATTGACTTTTAGAAAAAAGGATGACAATATTTGAATATTTCCCTCCATGGTCCAGAACTATTAGTAACCAACTTACCATACAGAAAGTCGGCGTTTTGCAGCTTGTCCACGTGCTCCCCCTTCTGAGCAGAGGTGGGGGCCACGGGAGCCGGGGCAACCTGGAGGGACCGGCACTTCTTTAGTAGAAGGCCTCCAGCCTCTGGATGCGGGCCTCGAAATTGACCCGAGATGGACCCGGTCTCTCCTGGTCCATGTGGTATGAAGTCCCTTTATTAAAAATAATGTACTCCATGATTCAACATTTCAATAACCCTACGCAATAACATTGTTAGGTGTTACTCAGTAGTAATAGTAGTAATAGTAGTAGTAGTAGCAGCAGTAGTAGTAGTAGTAGTAGTAATAGCACTAGTAGCAGTAGTACAAAACAATACAATTTATTCTTGTATAGCCCTGAATCACAACAGAAGAAAAGCTTTACCTGTCTTCTTATGAGGACAGTATGAGGAGTAGGAACTATCAAGAGCAATAAATACTCACCAGAGAGAGAAGGGCCGACGCTGGCCTGATCCTCCTCCTCCTCCATCCCCTCACCTCCCACCAGGGGCTCAGGATCTGATTCAATATGGGAGTAATAATGTATATATGAAATTATAGTTAATTCATTCCAAAGTTTATCTATGCCATAACATATGTAGGTTTTTGAAAAAAATAAACTATGATTCACAAATTACATGTACACAATGACATTGTTAACACAGTAGTAATGGAGCTTTCGCGAAAGTTCACTGTGGTAGACCCGGCCGCTGCCGCCCAGATCTACAAGCTGCTCATCCTCGACTCATCATACCAGCAACGCCCACATCCAATCAACCAATAACCACCAGGACAGCAAGTTAAAAGCCGGAGACGCCCACTTCCCGGCCTTCTGAAGTCTGCAAGCCTCCGCCGCCCCAGCTCCTCCTTCTCTCATCGAAGCGTGCTTGCCTACTGCCTCTGCCGCCACCAGTGCCTAGGCCCCGGGGGGGATTATGCGCGCGAGCAAGCGCCGCGCTCAACAGCATCTCTCCCGGGCCTAGGGCGCCAAACATGCTCAATCTAATAAACCTCTAACTGCATTTTCCCTCGTGGGTCTCTCCAAGGTGAAATAGTAGTAGTACTAGTATCAAGAGCAATAAATACTCACCAGAGAGAGAAGGGCCGGCGATGGCCTGATCCTCCTCCTCCTCCATCCCCTCACCTCCCACCAGGGGCTCAGGATCTGATTCAATATGCATGTATGAATTTCCATTACTCAGTAGTAATAGTAGTAGTAGTACTACTACTAGTAGTAGTAGTAGTACTACTACTATCAAAAGCAATAAACACTCACCAGCCTCATCCAACTCCCATCAGCGGGTTGTCGTTGGGTTCATCTGATTCAATAATGTAAATAAAAAAACAGTTTTTTCATTACAAATATTATCCATGAATTAACATAGGTGTTATCAATTTATAAATTATTTATATATTTCCAGATATCCAACAACAGTTAAAAGTACTGTTTTGGTTCTTACCAATGTCCAGTTCAGAGACGAGGGGCACTGAGGGGTCTGAGAGCCTCAGGTCCCTCAGCTCCTTCACAATTGCTGCGCGCTTTGCCTCTCGCAAGAGGGCAGCACGCTCCTACGAACCAAAACATATTGTTTGGACACATATTGAAACATATGGATTTGATAAAAGCAATTTACATCAGAGGAGGTCTTTTGGTGTTGATCCTGCAGATGCTTATCTAAGCGGACCACACCCTTCTTCACGCAGCACGGACAGTCAAGGACAGCCGTGGTCCTAGGAGAATGAAAATAAATCAACAAAGTGGCGCTGGTCTCTGGTGTGTGTGTGTGTGTGTGTGTGTGTGTGTGTGTGTGTGTGTGTGTGTGTGTGTGTGTGTGTGTGTGTGTGTGTGTGTGTGTGTGTGTGTGTGTGTGTGTGTGTGTGTGTGTGTGTGTGTGTGTGTGTGTGTGTGTGTGTGTGTGTGTGTGTGTGTGTGTGTGTGTGCATTAACTCACCGTGCACTACCATATTTTTGGAGGAGGTGTAGCTCCTCCAAGTTCGCCACCTTGTGAATTTGCAGCAGGTGCTGCTTGATATTTACTGTTTGCGTGAAGCAAATGCCGCACAGTTTTCCATCCTGTTACACAATAAAGAGAAAATGATAATAATAATTATTATTATAAATAATGACGTTGCTGCACCCCGTGAGCAAAAAACGTGAATCTCCGTGGGCCAGGCCTTGAAGGTGCTAGCATCCGAGGAGCATCTCCGTGTAGCACCTGCAAGGCCTCCCGCAAACGTTACGGAGCTCGAACAGGGAGAGCCGCCGTGTGTTCTCCGTGTGCACAGCCCCGATATCCACTCAGCATTGTATTTATGAATGTTTACAAAGATATTTTGATTGTTACACTATTACACTAAGACGGTGTAATAAACGCATGTGACCACTCACCTCCATCTTGAACCGCGAAAAGGCCTAAACACGCCTCTTTCAACTCCGCTGAATAACTAAGCAGAAAGGGGCGTTACCTGTACAAAAATGATTTTAATAAATTAGAATGATATTATAAAATGAATCTATGAATAAATTCAACATGAACTTGACTTATATCCCAATTTTTGCGTAGGATTCTGAAGTTTTGGCTGTTCAGGCCTTATCTGCGGTAACCGGGCCCAAATTATACAATTCGTTCATCACACGTTACCGGTGGTCGAGTGGTTACGGTGTGGGATCGAATCCCGCCAGAAGCATTTTTTTTTTAAATCATTTTGAGTCCCTCAAAGCTGTTATATTAAAGCAGTACTAAGTAACTTATTTACCTTAATAAATCCTTTTCATATTCCCTCTGGGGGTAATACAAGTGTTAATGGGATGATTGGGAAGTTTTTCATCTCCCCCTGCTGTCTCTGGCCAGAAAACCACATTTGCAGATTTGCCTGCCTCCGCACCGGTGCCACTCTCACAACTCTGTTCTCGTTCTCGCGGCACTACGAACTGCTTTACGACAGCCCAATACACATTCATCTTAGACTGTCACCAGCCCCGCGGCTGCTCATTGTTGTGTATAAATTCTATTTTCTCACATTTCTATCATGGCGGAGCCAGCAAAAAAAAGGCAAAGAAGACCTTTGTCCGAGGAGGGGAGGAAATAGAAACAGGAATCGGATCGACACAGAGCGCAAAAACGAATCAACTTGGGGAATGCACTTGCTGGATGGCGAGAGCTCAAAGAAAAAGAAGGCTGTAAATTGGACGCAGACTCGGCGATCTTGTTGCTGGACTTGTAAGTACTTCATCTGATAACGTCTATTAGTAACGTTTATTCGTAAAAGTAGGATTTTTTTCTGTTTTATATTGCCCTTCAAATGTATCAACATCCGCGTGTAGCCATCTTGCTAGCATTTGCTAGCAAGATGGCTACCATCTAGCACCAAACGAATCTAGTAATGACTGTAGCTTTGACAATAGCCGCGTGAAACGTGTGAATGTACAAGTGATCTTGCACAACTTGCGGATAGCTATAATTTACTGTGTAGTTGACCGGTTATGGCTCCGTGCGCACTCCGCGTTAGATGCGCGATCGTGGTCAGCGAGGAGAGGGCTGGACACAGGTTGACACTATGTATGTTTGCAGATCTGCATTTTGACAAAGGAGTGCTTCAGGCAAATATTTTATGCTTGCAAATCTGCTGACAGCAACTGAAATTGTGAAAGTAGCGTAGCTTTTCAACTGTCAGTACGTCACGACCAGGGAAAGGCTAGCTTGAAGCCTCATGTTCTGTGTCAAAAACTTATACATCGGTAATTCTTTCTCTATGAGAACTGTGACATTTCATTTTTTTTTCCTTCTAATAGTTATAATCGTTGGCAAACATCAACACCGAGCAAAGAGCAAGCAAGGCCACCGACTCTACCCGTCTCAAGCATTACAGAGGAATCTGATCAGGATAAGTATGTTCTCATAACTGTATCTAAAGCTTATTTTGACGTTTTTGTGATTTGTAACAATCTATCTTACTAGATGCGAAGCCAATCAAGATCTTGGTGTTGAACCTTTGCCTGATGAGAGTGAAGTGGTGGCACTGGAAACAAGGTTACTTTTGTTTGTTATTTGTGTATGTGTTGAATCTCATATTTCTTGTATAGCTATCTGCCTTTTGTTGTAGCATGCACTCCATGAACACAGCAGAAGACCCTCCTCCTGACTCTCCAGATGAACACAGCAGAAGACCCTCCTCCTGACTCTCCAGATGAACACAGCAGAAGACCCTCCTCCTGACTCTCCAGATGAACACAGCAGAAGACCCTCCTCCTGACTCTCCAGATGAACACAGCAGAAGACCCTCCTCCTGACTCTCCAGATGAACACAGCAGAAGACCATCCTCCTGACTCTCCAGATGAACACAGCAGAAGACCCTCCTCCTGACTCTCCAGATGAACACAGCAGAAGACCCTCCTCCTGACTCTCCAGATGAACACAGCAGAAGACCCTCCTCCTGACTCTCCAGATGAACACAGCAGAAGACCATCCTCCTGACTCTCCAGATGAACACAGCAGAAGACCATCCTCCTGACTCTCCAGATGAACACAGCAGAAGACCATCCTCCTGACTCTCCAGATGAACACAGCAGAAGACCCTCCTCCTGACTCTCCAGATGAACACAGCAGAAGACCCTCCTCCTGACTCTCCAGATGAACACAGCAGAAGACCATCCTCCTGACTCTCCAGATGAACACAGCAGAAGACCATCCTCCTGACTCTCCAGATGAACACAGCAGAAGACCCTCCTCCTGACTCTCCAGATGAACACAGCAGAAGACCCTCCTCCTGACTCTCCAGATGAACACAGCAGAAGACCCTCCTCCTGACTCTCCAGATGAACACAGCAGAAGACCCTCCTCCTGACTCTCCAGATGAACACAGCAGAAGACCCTCCTCCTGACTCTCCAGATGAACACAGCAGAAGACCATCCTCCTGACTCTCCAGATGAACACAGCAGAAGACCCTCCTCCTGACTCTCCAGATGAACACAGCAGAAGACCATCCTCCTGACTCTCCAGATGAACACAGCAGAAGACCATCCTCCTGACTCTCCGGATGAACACAGCAGAAGACCCTCCTCCTGACTCTCCAGATGAACACAGCAGAAGACAGCAGAAGACCATCCTCCTGACTCTCCAGATGAACACAGCAGAAGACCCTCCTCCTGACTCTCCAGATGAGGGCGAAACTAGCCATTTGAAAGACACAGTGCAAGTGTTGAACATTTCCTTTTCCATTTATTCAGATTGCACTCCTTCAATAAATATTTTTATTATATTTGTCTTGATGCAGCATTGAGATGGATGATTTTTGGGATGACCCTGGCAATTTAGATGTTGAAGATGACTCTGATGAGGACTTTGTCCCTTCACTATGTTTGCGGTACTTTAATTTTTATTTCCCCTCACTAACTACATAATTAACTATATATATATAGATATATAGATATAGATATTGATTTATTTATTTAGATATATGATGATATGATAATAAGTAATATCTTTCCCAGAACTGTTGGCACGAGAATAGAGGAGCTCAGAGAAATAACAGTGGATGAGGCTGTCCTTGATTTTGATACCCCAGATGATCCAGAAGAATTGGATCTTTTACCCGATGACGATTGTGTAGAGACTGAGGATGATCTAATTGGGAAAAGAGCAAATATTACATTTAATGACAACCTCCTTTCCCTTGCCACACATCTGAGACTGCCTGTCCAGAAGTGCAGCTATGTCGACAAACTAACTGGTCAGCCTTGTCCTGGTGCACAACCTTTTCAGGTTGTGTTAAAACCTCGTGGGACTGGAGTGGTTGAACAATGCTATGTATTTCTATGAAATGACTAACTGTACTGCCCTAACGCTATTGTATTTTTTATTTACTACAGTTATGCCCCAATGGTCATCTGGTGTGGAGCTGGAATTCATAGCCAACACTAAAATTCAAAATGCAGGGTGGTGACTTCATGTTATCTGCAAATATACTACTTTCAGGCAACAACTACAGAAAGGTGGCTCTCCTCTTCAAGTTTATGGGAATGGGAATGGTTGCAGAGTCAACCTTTTTTAGGATTCAAGATGCATATTGCAAAGGACTTGTATTGAAATACTGGGAACAAACAAAAGCGGAAGTCATTGGACGCTTGCGTCGTGAAGATGGTGTTGTTCTCCTTGGTGATTGCACTTTTATTTGCTCAAAGAATTAATAACATTATGGCTGTGATACAAATGTATCTAAGCTCTTAGCTTTTACACAGTATGCGCTTATCATTTTATCTTATTTTCTAGGTGATGGCAGAATGGACTCTCCTGGTAATCTTTGTAATCTCAGAAGCTCAATTTGGATAGTTGTTTGCTGACCGTTTTTCTTATGCCTCAGGTCACTGTGCAAATTTTTGCACCTACACCACTATTGAGCAGTTGTCGAGAGACATTGTTTACATTGACTCCATAGACAAGAGGATGGTTGGTAGGAACTCTGTGATCATGGAGAAGGAGTGTTTTTGCCGCACCATGGAAGCTTTGCTACCTGACTTGCAGATAAAAGAGGTGGTCACTGATGCTCACCCACAGATTACCGCTTTGCTTCGTAAGGACCACATAACCTATTCGTAAATTGCATGCAGCTGGGATGTGATGACGCTACATTATGTGTTGCAGACCCTGTGCGAGGCAAATATAAGGGAATTCAACATTCCCTGGACATTTGGCATGCTGCAAAAAGCCTCAGCAAGAAGCTGCGTCGAGTAAGTAGTAATTGTCTATGTACTGTTGACTAAAACATTTTATGATTATTATCATATGGTAGGAATTGATCATTGTTCATGCCTAAAACCAAACATGCTACTTGTGTACCATGAACAGGTGGGAACTAAGAAGAAGCAGAAGGAAATCATTGTGTGGACAAAGGACATAGTTAATCATTTCTGGTATTGCAGCAAACAAGCACAAACTGAGGAGCATTTCAAGGTACTTCGCATTTATAACATTTTTTGGGTGTGAATCTTGCTTTTTTTCTTGATTACTATTTACACTTTTTATTTGGGGGGGCAGATGATGTGGTCTGGAGTAATTCATCATGTTTGCAATAAACACACTTGGGCAACAGGAAGTTGTGAACATGAACCACTTGCTGAAGAGAGTCAGGACAAGCCTTGGATCAAGCCAGGTAGTTTTTTCCTTTTTCAATCAGGGCAAATTATGAAGTTATGTACTAACACATGCTGGCAGGTTCTGAAGCTCATCGGGTACTGACAGAAGTTGTGTTTGAGAAGAGATGGCTGACTCAAGTGAAGAAGTTTATAAACTTCAGGTAAGTACTTATTTCTTTAAAAACAGGGATAAGTTAGAACTAGCTCTCCAGTGTCTCATATGAGCACCCCAAAGGTTTCAACATAATCTACCTAAGCTTGATGAGTCATGATGAACACACTGAACATACACATCTGCAAAACATTTGTCTTTTCTGATTCAAGGAAAAATGTGGGAGACCCCTGCACTACACAATATAATGTTTTGTATTTTTCAGCATTTTTTATTTTATTTTCTCACACAGATCTACATCAGACTTGGAAAACTTCCAAAATCACATCTTGATGTATGCGGCAAAGCGCATGTCCTACATATTGGACATTTACAGAGCGCGGACTTGCCTTGCTGCCATAGACTATAATAAACACAACCGACGCAGGCCTGCACGCAACAAGGAAGGACAGAAAATGCAAGTTACTACTGCGAAATTTTGTGTAAGGTCTTTGCATATTTCTGCTATTCACTCAATATTACTTTCATTGTCTAGGTACCGAAAGTCTTACAACAAAAAGTCAACAACATGGAGTGCATACGAAATGAAAGAAAAGAAAACCTACTCCTACATCCCAGAGATTCAAAAGGCCATCCTTGCTGTGAGGCTGCAAAGTGGTAAAGGCCTTCCCCGTCGAGTAACTATGCACCCTGATGACCCAAGACGTCTGGGTGTGCTTGCTCCTGTGCAGCCACCACCTTAGAACTAGTGAGGGTCTGGAAATTTGTCTCTTATTTTCCACACACAGCAGCTGGGAATGACCACTCTGTTGCCCTCACCAAGACGTCCATGTTGCCAGAGGACATATGTCTCATACAACAATGTTCTTCACCAGGCCCAGGATTGTCTTCAAGGGCAAAGATATCGTTCCAAGCAGCTGCGGCCAAACGCAAAACTCCCTCATCCAAAACATAATACTGCATATGCGCCATGTTGCTGATGCACTGTTCTGGGGTTTGTCTGCAGCATTTTTTTTCGATATCTGTGTTCATCTCTCGACAATTCCCGCAGATGCACCAGTTGACAGCAGTAATGGGACGGGTGGGATGTGGATTCTCTAGTAGGGACAGAATGTCAAAAAGCATCCCAGGTGTCCTCTGGACAACCCTCTGCAGAAGGATGTCTCTCTGCTCCAGCCTCAGTGATTTAATTTTTTCCTACAACACATTCATAGGTTGTACTAGTGTGTTATAAGCATACATGTAATATATGTGTATTATGTGAACCATAAGGTAAAAAGATATTTAAAGGCAATATAATACAGTACAGTACCACAATGTTAGTAGCACAGTTATACCTGTAACTCAGCCATACGTCGGTTCTGCAGAGCTTGCAGCCTTCTTTGATCGTCAGAAGTCAGGTCCCTAGGTCGTGTAGTTCTCCCCCCGCGACCTCGACTTCTTGCTCTGGTCTTGGGCCTCGCACCGCCAGCACCCATGGCTTGAACAGTGAATTCATCAGATGATGATGAATTCGAAAGTAATTCCTGTAGTATTGTAAACAGTTACAAAACTAAACATTGGCAGTACACAGGATGAGGCTGAGTCGTCTTTGGAGAAAATGTATAGATTTTTTGGAAAGACAAACTGGCACTTGTTTACATTACTTATTTTTTTTAGATCATATTTGATTGTACCCACCTCATCAGACATCTGTTCGTATTGTTCAACGATGTTATCCTTGTATGTCTTGGGAGAGCAAAGGTGCGCATGTAGCTGTGGGGTGGGGCAGGCGGCGGAGGGTGCGGAGTGTTTACGACAGTGACATAACCAAAAGTGACCTTTAGAGGGCGCGCTAAGCGCAAGTTACTTAGTACTGCTTTAGAAGGAGAAGTGAGGATTGGGGACTGGGGATGTTTTTCAGACAAAGTGAGAAATGTGGAGGAGGAGAATGATCCAGAGTCCCAAGACCAAAGACCTGGACCCGGGCCCAAGACCAGACTTGAAGCAGAGTCCGAGACCAAGACCAGGAACTGGCCCCTTCTACACATTATACTTATGTGATTGTTGATGTGTTTTGATCAGTCTGGAGCAGGGACCTGCAGAGGGAAGTCAGAGCGCCTGACTTTACACTCGTATACAGATCTTTAGGGACAGGTATTTTAGGACCACTGTTTAGATCCCTTTGTTTTAGGGAAGAAACCTTTTTTGGATTTAACTTTCTGAATCCTGGTCATCTTTATAAGGGATTTTGAATTTAAATCGATAACATACGGAATGGCTCCACATCAGCGCCTCAATTGTGGAAGCCTGGAGCAAAACAATTAGTGAGTAAGTCATGTTTTTTATATAGGGCATTTATACAATTGTACATTTCAAATGAACACTGAGCCATATTTTAACTTCACAATTTGTCACAAAAAGAAACACTTTTTGTTGCACTCTTTCGATGGTAAACAACACTGCACCAAAGCTCTGTTCATAAAGCTTTGTGCTTTTCAAACTTCAATACTTCAATCCTACTGAACAACAATGTCAGAGTCTGTTCTCTCATTGTTCTGTGTTCACGACTGTGTTCATGACTGTGTTCACGACTGTGTTCACGACTGCGTTCACGACTGCGTTCACGACTGCGTTCACGACTGCGTTCACGACTGCGTTTACGACTGCGTTTACGACTGCGTTCACGACTGCGTTCACGACTGCGTTCACGACTGCGTTCACGACTGCGTTCACGACTGCGTTCACGACTGCGTTTACGACTGTGTTCACGACTGATTTCACGACTGTGTTTACGACTGTGTTCACGACTGTGTTTACGTGCTGCAGTTGGACCTCCAACTGTCACACTGGATATGGACTGGGACTATACTTACTATACTGTGGGCAACACAACCATCTTTGAGCAACACAACCACATCTGTGAGGATGTGGTTGTCACGGTAGCAGTACCTATTTTAAAAGAAAGAAAGACCTTGGCATGTGTTTTTTTTGTAAAAGTGAGGGACAGCGAGACAGCAAGATAGTGAGACAGTAAGACAGTGAGACAGCAGGACAGTGAGACATTGAGACATTGAGACAGTGGGACAGTGAGACATTGAGACATTGAGACAGTGAGACAGTGAGACAGTGAGACAGCAGGACAGTGAGACAGTGAGACAGTGAGACAGTGGGACAGCGGGACAGTGAGACAGCAGGACAGTGGGACAGTGAGACAGCAGGACAGTGAGACAGCGAGACAGTGAGACAGTGGGACAGAAGGACAGCGAGACAGTGGGACAGTGAGACAGCAAGACAGTGGGACAGTGAGACAGCGGGACAGCAAGACAGTGAGACAGCAGGACAGTGAGACAGCAGGACAGTGAGACAGTGAGACAGCAGGACAGTGGGACAGCAGGACAGTGAGACAGCAAGACAGTGAGACAGCAGGACAGTGGGACAGTGAGACAGCAGGACAGTGAGACAGTGAGACAGCAAGACAGTGAGACAGCAGGACAGTGGGACAGTGAGACAGCAGGACAGTGAGACAGTAAGACAGTGAGACATTGAGACATTGAGACAGTGGGACAGCAAGACAGTGAGACAGCAGGACAGTGGAACAGGGAGACAGCAGGACAGTGAGACAGCAGGACAGTGAGACAGTAGGACAGCAGGACAGCGAGACAGCAAGACAGTGAGACAGCAAGACAGTGAGACAGCAGGACAGTGAGACAGTGGGACAGTGAGACAGTAAGACAGTGAGACATTGAGACAGTGGGACAGTGAGACAGTGGGACAGTGAGACAGCAGGACAGGGAGACAGCGGGACAGTGAGACAGTAGGACAGTGAGACAGCAGGACAGTGGAACAGTGAGACAGCAGGACAGTGAGACAGCAGGACAGTGAGACAGTGGGACAGTGAGACAGCAGGACAGCGAGACAGCAGGACAGTGAGACAGTAGGACAGTGAGACAGCAGGACAGTGAGACAGCAAGACAGTGAGACAGCAGGACAGTGAGACAGCAAGACAGTGAGACAGCAGGACAGTGGGACAGTGAGACAGCAGGACAGTGAGACGTTAAGACAGCGAGACAGTTGGACAGCAGGACAGTAAGACAGCGGGACAGTGAGACAGTGGGACAGTGAGACATTGAGACAGTGAGACATTGGGACAGTGAGACAGCAGGACAGTGAGACAGCGGGACAGTGAGACAGTGGCACAGTGAGACAGCAGGACAGTGAGGCAGCGGGACAGTGAGACAGCAGGACAGTGAGACAGCAGGACAGTGAGACAGCAGGACAGCGAGACAGTGGGACAGTAAGACAGCAGGACAGTGAGACCGTGAGACAGCAGGACAGTGAGACAGTGAGACAGCAGGACAGTGAGACAGCAGCACAGTGAGACAGCAGGACAGTGAGACAGCGGGACAGTGAGACAGCGAGACAGTGGGACAGCAAGACAGTGAGACAGTGGGACAGTGAGACAGTGGGACAGTGAGACAGCAGGACAGTGAGACAGCAGGACAGTGAGACAGCAAGACAGTGAGACAGCAGGACAGTGAGACAGCAGGACAGTAAGACATTGAGACATTGAGACAGTGGGACAGTGGGACATTGAGACAGTGAGACAGCAGGACAGTGAGACAGCGGGACAGTGAGACAGCAGGACAGTGAGACAGTGGGACAGCAAGACAGTGAGACAGCAGGACAGTGGAACAGTGAGACAGCAGGACAGTGAGACAGCAGGACAGTGAGACAGCAGGACAGTGAGACAGCGAGACAGTGGGACAGCAGGACAGTGAGACAGCAGGACAGTGAGACAGCAGGACAGTGAGACAGTGGGACAGTGAGACAGCAGGACAGTGAGACAGTGGGACAGTGAGACAGTGGGACAGTGAGACAGCAGGACAGTGAGACAGCAGGACAGTGAGACAGCAGGACAGTGAGACAGTGGGACAGTGAGACAGCAGGACAGTGAGACAGCGGGACAGTGAGACAGCAGGACAGTGAGACAGCGGGACAGTGAGACAGCAGGACAGTGAGACAGCAGGACAGTGAGACAGCGGGACAGTGAGACAGCGGGACAGTGAGACAGCAGGACAGTGAGACAGGGGGGACAGTGGGACAGTGAGACAGCAGGACAGTGAGACAGCAGGACAGTGAGACAGCGGGACAGTGAGACAGCGGGACAGTGAGACAGCAGGACAGTGAGACAGTGGGACAGCAGGACAGTGGGACAGCAGGACAGTGAGACAGCAGGACAGTGAGACAGCAGGACAGCGAGAGTCAGCTTTGGAATCATACCTTACTTGAGACCTTTCTGCTGATAGAGACGAGTCAGACTCTTGATGTGAAGGTCCAGGGCTAAAGTTAAAGTATCTGTGTTTGATTTCACAACCAAACACAACCACAGTTTGGCACTTTGCAGCCGCATCCACCCCACTGTGGCACCTGGTGTTCCCAGAGGTTAAGTGTCTTGCCCAAGGACACAGCGTCAGCAGACATCAGTGGGAGTCTTGTGGTGGGCTCAAACCCACAACCTTCAGACTCAAAGGCCAATGCTCTACACTGAGCCACTGTTGCCTCTGACATGTAGTGTATACTCTCCAGAGCGTGTGGCTTCTATCTTATTATTATTATTACTACATTTGCGTATGTTGTTCATTATTTTTTCATTATTAAATTTTATGATTTTGAAAAAGATTTTCTGTTTCAAGATATCTTTGATTACCATTGCTTATTTTTAAGTATCGATATAAACTAATATATAAACTTAATCATGACTGTGCTGGGGCAGCTGTCATCCCTGTCAGTGGTAGAACCCTGATGATGCCAGGGCTCCCCCTTGTGGCGGCTCAGGATAAAATGCTGAGAGATTCACCTACTGCTCTGCCTCTGGTCTCTCTCTGGTCTCTCTCTCTGGTCTCTCTCTGGTCTCTCTCTGGTCTCTCTCTGGTCTCTCTCTGTGGTCTCTCTCTCTGGTCTCTCTCTGGTCTCTCTCTGGTCTCTCTCTGGTCTCTCTCTCTGGTCTCTCTCTGGTCTCTCTCTGGTCTCTCTCTGGTCTCTCTCTGTGGTCTCTCTCTCTGGTCTCTCTCTGGTCTCTCTCTGGTCTCTCTCTGGTCTCTCTCTCTGGTCTCTCTCTGGTCTCTCTCTGGTCTCTCTCTCTGGTCTCTCTCTCTGGTCTCTCTCTCTGGTCTCTCTCTGGTCTCTCTCTGGTCTCCTCCTGGTTATCTTTTATATACTATGGGCAGCTCTGACCATGCATCTTGCGGATCAGTCACAACTTGTGCTCAAATCTTATTCCACATGGTGTGTGACACATGGTGTGTGACAGATGCCGCTAGTGGTTCCGCCCTTTACCTGGTAACACAGCAGCTGTGAGGCTGACTTATTTTCTTTTGAGGAGGTACTCGAGTAAATGAGATCAGGCTCGAGTTAGATCCTAAAGTTCATGAACTACATCAACCCCTCGTGCACACGCTCCGGTGTTTTTGATCATAAAGAGCATGAAAGAAATATCTATTATGAAAACTGAGCATACTAATAGGAACGCAAAAGTATATTAAATGAGTTACTTTCTTTAGAGAGTAACTAAGTAAAGTAATAGGTTACTTTTTAACAGAAGTAATGAGTAACAATTTTTAAAAGTATCTTCCCCAACTCTGTAGGACGACTAAAGGATGTCTTCATCTCTGAGGCCGTGTTTAAAAGCAAAGTCAAAGGTGACGTCCGTCCATGCGAGGGACTGCATCTACGTCACGGCGCTTTTGTCCGGCGCAGCAGACGCCTTGTTGTGGCGTTTGTGAGCACTGGAGCTCCTCAGGGGTGTGTTCTGAGTCCTCTGCTCTTCTCACTGTACACCCGTCACTGTGTTGCTTCTTCTGACTCTGATCATTAAATATGCAGATGACATCACCATTATCGGTCTCATCAGACGAATCTTCAAACAGAGGTTGAGAATGTTGTCAAGTGGAGTAAAGACAACAACACTCACTCACACTCACCTGTGCAGTCGTGGTCACTCCCACTCACCTGTGCAGTCGTGGTCACTCCCACTCACCTGTGCAGTCGTGGTCACTCCCACTCACCTGTGCAGTCGTGGTCACTCTCACTCACCTGTGCAGTCGTGGTCACTCCCACTCACCTGTGCAGTCGTGGTCACTCTCACTCACCTGTGCAGTCGTGGTCACTCTCACTCACCTGTGCAGTCGTGGTCACTCTCTCTCCCACTCACCTGTGCAGTCATGGTCACTCTCACTCACCTGTGCAGTCGTGGTCACTCCCACTCACCTGTGCAGTCGTGGTCACTCTCACTCACCTGTGCAGTTGTGGTCACTCTCTCTCACGTGTGCAGTCGTGGTCACTCTCACTCACCTGTGCAGTCGTGGTCACTCCCACTCACCTGTGCAGTCGTGGTCACTCTCTCTCCCACTCACCTGTGCAGTCGTGGTCACACCCACTCACCTGTGCAGTCGTGGTCACTCTCACTCACCTGTGCAGTCGTGGTCTCTCTCACTCACCTGTGCAGTCGTGGTCACTCTCACTCACCTGTGCAGTTGTGGTCACTCTCACTCACCTGTGCAGTCGTGGTCACTCTCTCACTCACCTGTGCAGTCGTGGTCACTCCCACTCACCTGTGCAGTCGTGGTCACTCCCACTCACCTGTGCAGTCGTGGTCACTCTCACTCACCTGTGCAGTCGTGGTCACTCCCACTCACCTGTGCAGTCGTGGCCACTCCCACTCAACTGTGCAGTCGTGGTCACTCCCACTCACCTGTGCAGTCGTGGTCACTCCCACTCACCTGTGCAGTCGTGGTCACTCTCACTCACCTGTGCAGTCGTGGTCACTCTCTCTCCCACTCACCTGTGCAGTCGTGGTCACTCTCACTCACCTGTGCAGTCGTGGTCACTCTCACTCACCTGTGCAGTCGTGGTCACTTCCACTCACCTGTGCAGTCGTGGTCACTCTCTCTCCCACTCACCTGTGCAGTCGTGGTCACACCCACTCACCTGTGCAGTCGTGGTCACACCCACTCACCTGTGCAGTCGTGGTCACTCGCACTCACCTGTGCAGTCGTGGTCACTCTCACTCACCTGTGCAGTCGTGGTCACTCTCACTCACTTGTGCAGTCGTGGTCACTCTCACTCACCTGTGCAGTCGTGGTCACTCTCACTCACCTGTGCAGTCGTGGTCACTCCCACTCACCTGTGCAGTCGTGGTCACTCTCACTCACCTGTGCAGTCGTGGTCACTCTCACTCACCTGTGCAGTCGTGGTCACTCTCTCTCCCACTCACCTGTGCAGTCGTGGTCACTCTCACTCACCTGTGCAGTCGTGGTCACTCTCACTCACCTGTGCAGTCGTGGTCACTCCCACTCACCTGTGCAGTCGTGGTCACTCTCACTCACCTGTGCAGTCGTGGTCACTCCCACTCACCTGTGCAGTCGTGGTCACTCCCACTCACCTGTGCAGTCGTGGTCACTCCCACTCACCTGTGCAGTCGTGGTCACTCTCTCACTCACCTGTGCAGTCGTGGTCACTCCCACTCACCTGTGCAGTCGTGGTCACTCTCACTCACCTGTGCAGTCGTGGTCACTCCCACTCACCTGTGCAGTCGTGCAACCACACTTTTAAGAAAGCTCGGCAACGTCTATACTTTCTGCAAAAACTTAGAGATTTCACAATAAACTCTGCTGAACTTTTACCGCTGCACCATAGAAAGCCTGATGCTGGTGCGATTACTGTGGGTCGGCAGCATCACAGAACCGTGAGACCGTTCTGGAGGCTCTGTCTGAGAGCAGACTCTTAAAACGAGCCCTGAGGATTATTAATGACTCCTCTGGTCATCCCGGAGCGACCCTGTTCCAGCCTCTTCCCTCGGGGAGAAGATTCCGGTCCCCCCACCATGCAAATAGCTCCTTCCCTCAGGCGGTTATAAGACTGAACAGAACGCCCCTTGTAGCTCCTTTGTATCTTCGTAATAATGCTTTTATGAGTTTTATATGTATCTCATTATAGCTCAGTATTTTTGTTTTCTTTTTGTCTGTGTGTGTGCTTTGTTGTGTTGGTGCCTCCGGTGTCTCCTGTTTGTATTCCAATGTAGATTTTTCTGCAAATGGCAATAAATTGATTCTGATTTTGATTCTCGTTGCGGCGCAGCAGACGCCTCGTCGCGGCGCAGCAGGCGCCTCGTCGCGGCGCAGCAGGCGCCTCGTCGCGGCGCAGCAGGCGCCTCGTCGCGCCGCAGCAGGCGCCTCGTCGCGGCGCAGAGGCGGTGATAGTTACAGCAGCAAGACGCAGTGAAAGCAGGAGATGAGATTCACTGAACATCCTCGCTCCACACACGTGCGGCAACCAATCAGAGAGCAGCAAAGTGGTCACAAGGACACACGCTGGTCAAAACCAGGAAAATAAAGACACTCAAAAACAGCCAACACGGGACTAAACCAGGACTAAACCAGGACTAAACCAGGACTAAACCAGGACTAAACCAAGACTAAACCAAGACTAAACCAGGACTAAACCAGGACTAAACCAGGACAAAACCAGGACGAAACCAAGACTAAAACAGGACTAAACCAGGACTAAACCAGGGCTGAGGGTGGGGGTCAGTGCTTGTGAACATATGTGGTCGGCCTGAGTTTCTACTGTGACCATAACCAAGTGCTGCTAACGTGTTTGTTGATGTGGAAGTATCCGGCCCTTCCTTCCTGTGTTTTCCTCATCACAGCAGAACGACAGATCGACTAAACTCATGCAGATGATACTCAGTGAATGTGCGTCCAACACAGGTGAGAGTCTGATGCGCCTGGGGCTCGAGTTTCAGCCAAATACCTGTTTTGATGTTTCTTCCGCGCCGGTTGAAACATGTTTTATTGGCATAGATTTGCAACTGTACATTTTGATTACAGTAGAGAACAGGGAGTTCTCTACTGTAATCAAAACGCTCTGAGGAAACCTAGCGTTCTGGTTTTTCAGCCTTTAGGGCGGAACCGTCACCTCCTGCTATTCTGGCACAAGAGGAGGAAGATGGAGACCAAGTTTGGATTCATGGTGGTTGGGCTATTCCTCAATGGCGAAGGGGTCGCCCAGGTCTGCAACGTGGAGAGAATGGCCCCGCATCAAATCTACCAGATAATTTAGTAGATGCAAAAGGAGCTGACCTGGAGCTGATCGTAACGGTGACTGAGATGGGATCTCAGCGGAACATGCTACTAGCCAAACATTTGCCGAAAGATCTTGCAGTGGGATCTATGGATTGACACAAACTCTTGGAATGGAAACTGAACAAACGTGTACGTGCCTAGTGTACAGAAGAGCAGCAGTAATGTCACTATTGGATTTAAAGTCAAATGTGCCTTTGTCTGATCTGCTAAAAAGCTTTAAAATAAATGCCCCCATAAAGCCAATGTGTGTCAGTCTCCTGATGTCTGTAGGTTAGAGTATGGTTCTACATTCTTTTGGCCAAGGCTCTGGTGCACTCTGCAAATTAAAAAAAGGTATAACGATCAGTGTTGGAGTAAGGCTTTCCAAATAAAAGGTAAGTAAACATTACTGACCGATTCAAACACTACCCATTTTAAACTAAAATTAAATAGTGTTTTAACAAAGAAAGGTTGCTCACCCGTCATCTGTATTTCACTTTGCAGGTTTTCCCAACATTTCGTTCTTCATCCAAAGAACATTTTCACCGGAATTTTCTTTAGGTGAAGAACAAAACCTCGGTGAAACCTGCTAACTGAAGAACAGATGATGGGCTGATGGGTGATCCCTCTATGACTTAAACAAACTTAAATAGTGTTTTGTTTTTATACTATGCTGCCATGAGATCATCAGGAGAACAAACTTGCACCAACAGATGGACACACTCCCATTATTCAGAGTTTATCGGAGACAAACATGTGGAACATGACAGTTAAGGGCTCTAATAGCATCATGCTACATTGAGTTTGTATTTATATATTTGGTGAAAGTAACTTCACAATAATGCAGGAATGCATTAGGGGTGCTCAAAACGTCAATCCCAAAGGTTGTATTGGTAGATCGCATTACATTAAAATGTTTTATCTGTTTATGCATTTGCTGTAGACAGAGATAACCAGAGTTTTGCACGTCACAGAATTCCCCCCAAAAAACAACAAACAAAACGTGCAACCTCTGATCAATGAAGCATGGATCATACTGCCTTAAAAACTGTTCGCAACATCCTCCACATCAGAGAGCAGGAAAGTGATCAGGCACGCTCGAAAACAACCAAAACAGGAGCTAAACCAGGACTAAACCAGGACTAAACCAGGACTAAACCAGGACTAAACCAGGACTGAGGGTCAGTGCTTGTAAACATGTCTTCACTGTGGATCTATAATAATGTCTTCACCCTGAGTTTCTTCTATGACTGTAAAAGTGCCGCTACAGAAGAACTGGCGTCTGCATCAAAGCTCCGCCCACTTCATGCGGTTTTGCATGTACATAAGTTGTAGATATAAAGAATCCTCAATATATTTAGAAATAAATATATGTTTTGCATTTTTGAAGTAGGTAGATCATTTTGACTTGATCATTTTATAAGTAGCTTGCATGCTGAAAAGGAGCACCCCTGCTTTACAATATAGAGACAGTGTACAAAGTATGTGTAACCCTCATTTACTGTCTCTGGCTACATGTGGTCCCAGTGCACCTAGCATTGTGCCCTTAGGAGTGAATAGCTGAGGTGTGGTGCGGGAAGAAGGAGCACAGTAGACATGGAAGTTCCTTACGATTATGGAAGTGCCGTGTCCAAAAGAGCGTCATTACAAGTCTCTGCATATTTAATCCACCGTGCTCTCTTGGCATGCACCTGGCGTCTCATTCAAACAGTCTCCCTCCTCATTCTGTATCTTTGTCTCCTGCTCTTTGACTCTGAACACGTCCCAAGTCGCTGGAACCAGGCCTCGGTTGAAGAGCACAGAGGCCAGGTAGGAGAAGAGCAACACTGAAGCCAGAGTCACCAACATACACACGGTCTTAACGGGAGAGTACTGCACGTAAACGCCGTCCTCCAGAGTGCATCCTGGGAAGTGTAGTACAGCAGGTAATCCTATCCAAGGCTCTCCACACAGCAGACGTAAGGGAAAGCCCACCAGGAAGCCCATGATGGCTCCGTAACCGTTCGAGATGTTGAAGAAGAGAGCGCAGAAGAGCTGTGGGACCATGATGACGTAGCTGATGTTTGCCGTAACATACCAGAACAATATACTGCTGTTTTTTAGCATGGTCAGCGACGTCCCAAAGACTCCAGTCACCACCACCGAGGCACGGATCACCCACTGCAGCTCCCTCTCTGACGCCTGGAAGGACGTAAGACAAGTCAATCATTCTCTGTCCTCCTACGTCACTGTGTGGTTCTTTGGAGCTACTGTCAGGGACAAGCAGAGACAACAGGGCTTCGTGCGCTCTGCTGAGAGTTGGATCAGCTTCTATCACTTCAGGACCTATACGTTGCCCGAGCTCGTACCAATGCTAACCCTTCTCCCCTGCACATGGACTGTTCCAACCTCTCCCCTTTCACCTGCACATGGATCGTTCCAACCTTACTCCTAAGACAGGAGGCCCCAATCGGTCCAGACTAGAATCTCGCGCCATAAGAACAGTTTCTTCCACTCTGTTTTGGACTCTTTAACGCTTCAGACCTCATCACTGCCCCCTGCCCTTTGTGACCCTGAGCTAAACGTCTATTGTGCGTACCTAGTGCACTTGTGTATAGCTTTGGCAATTTCCTAGTTTCTGACTTCTTGTTATCCCCATGGCAAAACAAATAATTTTCATTCTGAAAGGATTCTGAGTTATAACCTAATTCACAGAACCACTTCTTTTTGATCATCACACTTAGATGAGTTTGGTCTTTATTACCGGGTGTGGCCCACTGTTGAGGAGTGAAGTGTACTGTATGGATTATTTAGTCAAAGTTTGTGCTGTTTCCCTCTCACCTTAGGTCGGACGATGTTCTTGTAGACGTTAGCAGAGAACACAGAGGCGGCAGACATCAGCGTGGAGTCTGCGGAGGACATGACGGCAGCAGCTACACAGCCGATCCCAATGATGGAGATGTACTGAGGGGTCAGGAACTGCAGCATGAGGGGCAGCACCTGAGCAGCTTCTCCTCGCTCGTACGGGGAGGGAGAGCCGAAGGCCGTCTGGTTCCAGTCTGAGGACCAAGTCATGCTTTTGAACCTTAATCATTCTCTAAACATATCTCCAGAGTAACGAGTGTAATGTCACAGCCGCATGTGGAGTCCAATGATAACGTGATAAGGTAATGATAACATAATATATGTTTAAGGCTCTACGGGTCGAGGATTAGATCCTTAATGATTAGACCATTTAAAGCCCATGTAGAGGCTAAATGTGATGATAATTCTCATGGTTCTTAGATCATTCAGGAAATGGACAACAGAAGCCAGTGATGCTCTGAGGGTCTGTTTGAGACGATTGGAATATACTTCTAGGCTCAGAGGAGGACATTAACAAATTTGTAGACATTGGTACGGATTACATCCACTTCTGTACCAATGTCGCAGTGCCAAAGAAAACTGTCCGCTATTTTCCAAATAACAAACCTTGGATCTTGAGTGACAACAAACACACTTTGAAACAGGCTTTTAAGGCAGGTGACAGGGACCAGGCCAGAACTGTCCAACACGACCTGAAGAGGACATCGAGACAGGCAAGGAGGGAGTACAAGAATGGTCTACAGGAGAAACTGCAGAATAACGACACCCGGGAAGTGAGGAAGGACATGAGGCCATTACTGGATATAAAGAGGAGAGCAGTGAGGCCGCCGGGAACGCCCATGAGTTTAACCACTTGAACCACAACAGGTTCAACTCTTCCCCTGTCCACGCTGATTCTGCTGTGACCGGTTCTGCTCTGCCCGGCGGCTCCTCCGGATGTCCGGTTGGAGCTAAAGAAGCTCCTGGGGAGAAAGTCTGCCGGGCCTCATGGGATAACGCCAAGGTGCTGGAAAACCCCACTGGAACGCGGCTGGAAATCCTCCTGCCTGGTACCCGTCCCCAAGGTAGTAAGGCCGACAGGATGCAAGGACTACAGACCAGTGGCATTAACATCTGTCATAAAGAAGACTTTGGAGAGGCTAGTTCTCCGACCGCTCAGGCCACAGGTGGAGCCGGCTCTTGACCCCTGCAGTTTGCCTATCAGGAGAACATAGGAGTGGATGACGCGGTCCTCTTCATGCTCCATCGATCCATGTCCTTCCTGGATGGCCCAGAAGGATATGTGAGGCTGATGTTCTTCCACTTCTCCAGTGCATTTAACACCATCCAACCTCTCTTACTGAGGGAGAAACTGGAGAAGATTGGAGTTGATCCATCTTTACCAACTGGATTTACAACTACCTCACTGTGAGGCCACAGTATGTCAGGTTAGGGAAGAGCGTGTCTGGGACTGTTGTGAGCAATATGGGAGCACCACAGGGTAAAGTACACTGCAGACTTCGCACACAACTCTGCTACATGCCATGTACAAAAAAAATGGACACCTGAATTTTTCCTACGGGGATCAATAAAGTGTCTATCTATCAAGACACTCTTGATAGATAGATAGACATAGAAGACTTTTTTTTTCCTTGGTGCTGAGTTTGAAGCTCGTATACATTTAAAACAGGCATTGTGCAAAGAGTGATCACCTGTAGAAGCGGCTGCGGCTCCAAGCAGGATGGGGGGAATGCCACACAACAGCAGCAGCACCGCGGCCACACAGCAGGTGGTCTTGGCGGTAGCGGTGGAGGAGGCTGACAAGGTTCTCTGGTGCAGACACTGGAAGCCCATAGATCCAACACTCTGCACACAAACACTCACTCACTCCATCCACATGTCACTGTAGACGCTGGAGAAGACGAGAGACCCACCATGAGTAAGAAGTCGTCCGCCATGATCCAGAGCCTGTGCACATGTGGAACACCGATCCAGGGAGCATGCAGAGTGTTGTTCAGCAGAGTCTGATCAATGCGCTCCGTGTGCGGGTTCAGCAGCACAAAAGGAACACACACCCACTGACAAAAGACAAATTGGCCAAGTTTAGAAACTCATATGAAACCATCTGTGAGATTATTAGACCATTTGAGCTTTGATCTTTGCTCTGACAGTTTGTTTGGATTCCCTTTTGTTCATCCATCTCTCCCGTAGACCGCCCCTTACCCCGGCACTAGGGTAAGGTATGTATGTATGTACGGGGTCTAAAGGCAAACAGGTAATAGGTGACGAGTTGGATCAAGTACTGTCTTTAAATCCACCAATGTGCAATACCTGCTGAGGAGGCTCAGGTCTCGGAGTGCAGGGGCCACTCCTGAAGACCTTCTATGCCTCTGTGGTGGCATCATCTCGTACGGAGTGGTCTGTTGGTGCAGCAGCATCATAGAGATACTGAGTGTGATACACTATATACCCCCAAGCGTTCTTGAAAGATGTATCATCTAGAAGGGACCCCACATGGTAAATGTACCATAAGTGTGTGTTGTGTGGACAGCTCACCAGGCTGACGAAGATGAGGGTGAGCTGGATGACATCAGTGTAGGCCACAGAGTAGAGTCCTCCCAGCAGAGTGTAGGTGATGGCCACAGCTGCAGAGACCCAGATGCTAATGCTGTAGGACAGGTCCAGGACCAGGCTCACTGTGGCTCCTGCAGACACCACAGCACACACCGACACTTTGAACTTTGAGCCGTTGTGGAAGATCATAAGGGAAAACTATATAAGGTCAAAGCCTCTAATGTATACACTTCATTAGGTCTCCTTATGTTTAAACTGCTAAGAAGGTTCTTATAATACGACAAAAGTGTAAAGAAGCTAGTACGGATGACAAGTATGCAACTAAGAAGATCAACTAAGGAAAAAGCAACTGAGGAAAACCTCAAATCGGAAATATTGCAAAAATGGACCGAGACCATGCAGAACTAGTAGAAACAGAAGAACACAAGGACAAAACATGGATACAGGAGGAGATTGAAATCAGAAAGAGGGGCACAAAGACCATCAACAGAGATGAGGGGGGCCTTCACCTTGACTCACACTTGGGACTTACTTCTCCAGAGACCACGGGGGGGTGTGGCCAGTCTGACAGATCTTTCCCATCTGTCAGACTGACAACATCCTGACAAGTCCCATCATGTGTCTCCTCTGACGAAGGCGGAAGTCTAACTATATACGTATATAGTCTAACTTTATACTTTTGTCTTAGTAGATGAACCTTCTATGCCTCTGGTTCTGATCACCACTGACTCCTCCCTGAGCGTTCCCTCTGCCTCTTTCACCACATGCACTTCAAACATGGCTGTCATGAACATCCCCATTCTCCTGCCCAGCAGCATCACTTCATCAATGTTCTTTGACTTTACCTCCAGTGTCTAGGCTCCAGGGGAGGGGATATTTCAGCTCATTCATCTCCTATAATGACTCATACCTCTGCCTTGGTCTGTTCCAAATTAACGTCATCACTCACATTAGCAAGTCAGTACTTTGTGAGTTTTTGGTCAGTGGCACACAGAGGGGAGGGGGGATGTCAGACAGACTGAGCCTTTACAATGACCTCTCTTCCTTTCCATTGTCAGACTGACAGGGAAACACCATCACCATATTTATACAGACATATGATAATACCTAATCCTATTAATGTTGTGGCCATATTCACAACATCAACAAAGACGGAGACCATGCAGAAACCTGCCGTGAGAGCCTTGCCGTACTTCCTGTGGAATGGGTCCATCATGGTGACACAGCGCTGATCTCTTAAAGGTTTAGCAAAAACAAATCCACCTACAGAGAAACAAAACTCAATACAACCAAAGAGAACAGAAGAACCAAGAGACGAAACTCATTAGAAATACAACAAACCGTAATGAGCTGCAGCACCGCCATCTTGGACTCAATACAACACAGCTGTCATAGAATACAGGAGCCTACAGGTTCCAATTCAGAGTTTAACACTAGTATGTTTATTTTTTCTAAAGTGAATAATGTACAACAAAATAATGCTAGAACCCATGACTTTAAAGTCCAAAAATTATGAGTTCATCCTTAAAGGTACACTGTGTAATTTTTAGTGCCATCTAGCGTTGAGATCTTATATTGCAGCCCAAGGTACTACGGAAACCTTTGTCAAAGGTCATTCACAGACTGCCAAGGAAAGAATACTTTAGTTTGATAACTTTGCTGCTACCACGCCTGACTGTTGAATAATTATTTTTCTTAAAGATTGTTGTTAGGATTGTTCTTTTACATAACTGTGGTCCTCCATTAGCCTGCTCATACCACACCATAGTACAAATTACATTTCATACTATATATATTCTTTTTATTCTTCAGCCATCTACTAAGGTCTGGAGGCGCTCCATTGGGCTCCGTGAACAGGTGGGAGGGGTTAACTCCTTTTAAAGATTGAAACGATTGGATCTGAGTTTACCGTGACGTATGTAGTGCGCCCGAGTCTGTCGTTAGCATTTAGCAGTTAGCCTAGCCATCTCCTTTGCCACTAACGGAGCCCGTGGGGAGTAGCTCCACAATTTTTCCAGCGATTACAGTTGCTAAACATTCTTCTTGCTCCGGCTTCAATTTCTTGCATTTTTCGCCATTGCCAAACCACATCCTGCCTGTTCGACGCAAACTCTTGACGTCACCCACAACAGACTACAACACCCGCCTTCCGCGCTCTCTGAACGGTCCGTCGAAATTAAACCGATCATAATCGCTGACACAGGGACCAGACCCAGACGTTACATGCAGTGAAATGATGATTGAACGGAGTGTACGGATGGATAAGGCCAGGCTAGTCCTCCATGGTTCTTTTATATAACTGTGGTCCTCCATGGTTCTTTTATATAACTGTGGTCCTCCATGGTTCCTTCTTCCAACTTGTGAGGTCACGGTGAAAGCAACGATATCAGTAGCTCATGTGAAACCTTTTTGGCCCTTACCCACCACTGTTTTCCAAGATGGTGCATTGACATGGATAGTCCTCAGCTCTCATGGACACTTATAAGTTAAATTCTAAGCCTATGAACACATGATGGAGGTAAATATTCTTATAATGGTCACATTTGGTATTAGTTAACATCTGCCAATTGGATGAGCTTGATGTTCCGTGGTAGGTTTCACCTGTTGACGTTAATGTTTGCTAGTTCATATTGACGTTAATGGTAGTTAGTTAATCTAGACGTTAATGTTAGCTAGTTCCTGTTGACGTTGATGTTAGCTAGTTCCCTTCACTATCAAATACAAAGCTCCTGTGTGACATGTACCTCTGGATCTTTGGGAATCTATGAAATGCTGTTGATTAGTTGTACTTTATTATACGGCTCCTCACAGCAGCAGCAGAACCATTGATTTGAATGTAATTTCAAAACGTTCTACCGGTCATTATTTTCTATAATGGACCTATCAAAACAATAATGACCGCTGCCCTTTGGCAACGCACTCTCTGCTTGTATTTCAAATGCGTGGATAACTCCGCAAGTAGTTCTGGCCACTCCGGAGCTAGCCACGCTCAATCAACACACTTAAATGTTAATCAGAGAATACTTATACATATACATTCTTCACACACGTGCACGGAGTGTTTCAGAATTTACTGCTCTTGTCTTTGTGACAAAAATACTATTTCTCTGCGTCAAAAAGCGATCGTGAAAAACCCGGAAGTAGTTCCGGTCGCTCAATAAACGCAAATGCCAATCAATCAACGCAATGAAATGTTAATCGGAGAGTGAATTATACATATCCAGTCTTAATACAAGTGCACGGAAGTTTTCAGAATTTTCCGTTTACGTTTTCATGACAAAAACACTGATGTAATGCGAGAAAAGGCGATGGTGAAAAACCCGGAAGTAGATACGGCACATTTTAGGAACATTTGCAGAGGATGGAATTATGGATTTAGGTTAAGTTTATGTTTGGGTCACTCACCGCTGATGTTCAGGATTCTGTGTTCAGTTTTCATGCAGTTCCAGAGAGTTCTAGTTTGGAAGTTGCTAGCCTAACTGTTGCTAGCATAGCCACTGGAAAACCTTTGGGAACTATTTTATT